GGGCGGAGCTCTGTGGGTGTTTGTGTGTGTGACTTTCCAGTGTCATCACACACACACACACACACACACACACACACACACACACACACACACAGATGGATGCAAAGATGAAACCACAGTCTGAGCTGTCAGCTGTTTGTTGTATTTTCACTTCCTGATTCTTTCCTCAATAAAGCAGATTCCACAGTCATGTGATCGCTGTCTTCTTTTAAATACTGTAAAAGACGTAGGAAAGTAGTTTTCACTCTTCGTTGTGCGTCTGTGTTTAGTTAAGCTGCTCAAAAAGAAGCACAATGTGTATCCTCTTGACGGTGTTGCTCCTGGATCATCAAACTGATGCCAGTCCAAGTGACCAATCACATTGTGGTGATATTACAGTTTTGCAGCGTGTAAACACCATCACACAACACATCAAACTCTAATCCCAAAACCGCACTACAGCTCTGTAAGCATAATAACGATCACATCCTAACCCCCAACCCTGACTATAAATCCCCCTTTTCCTGGGTGGACATCAGCAAGTTTTTTCCTTAATTGTAAAATATGACTATTTTTTTTAGTCACGATTAGTTACTTGCAATGCTGAACACAGACCAGCTTTAAGTAATTATGATGATGGGAAAAAAAACCCCAGTGTGGTACTTATGCTACATAGTCTTTGTGAAAGGTTAAAAATGTAGTTTTAAGACATAAATATGGATTAAAATAATAGTTAAAAAGTCAAGAGATATAAAAACGGTGCATAAGTTCTGGGGATTACAGTTCAGTTCATGTTTTAACGCAAGTTTAAAAAATGGACACCACCGTAATATTTTTTGTTCAGATTCAGTTTTTATCTAATTACACTTGAAGTTTTATCAAACTGGATTCGCTAAAGATGCCACAATGCTCTCAGGAAGAAGCCTTATAGGGAAGCCTGCAGAATAAATCCTGTAGTTGACGCTTTAAACAAAGTATGATCCGTGCCTCTTTATTTTATTACCCAGGTGGAGTAATTGTCCTCAAAATGACTCCTATGTAAAACAGTAACAATGATAAGATTGTTGTAAACATGTTAAAGTAAAGCATAACTTTGGAAACTGATTAAAAGTAATCAAAGTTGGTAGCTACCCTTGTTGGTAGCAGGTAAAGTGAGCTTCAAGTACAGTAGCTTTGCTAATGATGCACAAATGGTATTTGTAACAGTGAGGTTAATCAGGCTCATATATCTTTTCAATTTATGTTTTTTATGTGTGTTTTGAGGTGAGACGCAATTACCATTACCAATGTACACATTGTTTAATAATGGCTTTATATGAGCAGTTATTTACAAGTTACTTGATATGAGTTCGAGTTTATTGTATTCAGTGATAAAAGTGATATGTTTAAAGTAACCTGAGCAAATACTGGTTTACCATAATCAGTGTGAGAAAATGTTCAGATTAGAGTGATTACTTTAGTTTTCATGTAATCTAATAAGAAATACTTTTGTCTTATTAACAAACAATAATAAATATTCAAAACAGAACGAACTGTTCATTTGTTTCTATTTTCAATATTGCAGTTTTTAAAATTTAACTCCATACAACATTTGTCAAAAACAAACAAACAACTAAAACATTTTCTTGTTTATATTTAAGTTGAACTTTTTAAAGAAAAACCTTCTTAAATGCAAAAATATATAAGTAATCTCAAGTCAAAGGCCAAAGTCAAGTAAAAATAGATATAAACACAATCACCCCAACAAACAAGGAAATAATTTTTTAGAAATTAGAATAAAACTTCCTGTTCCTGCTTGCTGGACAGTCCACAGTGAGGTGCTTTATGTCTTTTTTCCATGAACAAGTCCTTTCAAAACTCATATCTACACTGTGTCTCTGTGTCAGAGGGAAATCTGTATCTTAATATTGAAATGCTGAGTACAAAGAGAGTGTGTTAGTACAGATGGTTATTTACTGCACAGCTGTCTGCATGAACACCAGAGAAGAACCAGATGTAAGTTTCAAACCTGCAGGCTCATTTCATGTCTGTGTACAGAGGTGCTGTGTGGACCACATTTGAACTGTTGCTTTTTCTTCTTGGACAATTTTAAACAGATGATCATTTATTAAGAACAATCATATATTTCTTACAGCAGTGTGTGACAAACTAGATATCTGTGTTTAATATAAAGTGCTGCGTGTCCATCAAACACTGAAGAGCTGCTGGATTCATTGTTTCCTCCAAATGACAGAAAAGTCATTTTCATGTGACAGAGCGACGATGCAGTGGAGTCTGTTTCTGCTTCTGCTGATGGGTGAGTGATCATTTTACCAGGGCTCCTGATTGTTTCCACCTGAAATCCTTTAGTTTGATCAGGACTCATTAAACAAATGAACTCTTACTGAGAAAATCAAGGATTGACCTGTAAACTGGACAGTTTGATGGGAACATGAGTTTCCTGCTTGTATCAGCAGATATTCAACAGTATTTCTTCTGTTTCAGGTCAGTGTGTCTTCATCACATGTCAGCTGTATGAGTACCACTTTATTAAAGAAGAGATGAGCTGGGATGAAGCACGGGCATATTGCAGAGAGAACTACACAGACCTGGCCAAAGTGTTTGACCTGACAGACATGAGAAGACTTCAAGACTCTGCACAGAGTCAAACACAAGCCTGGATTGGACTGTACAGCGAGCCAGGAGACAACAGGACGTGGCACTGGTCTCTGCCGGGGGAGGAATACACTGAAAATAAGACCTGTTGGACAGCTGGAGAGCCAAATGACAAAGCATACCCTGAGAACTGTGTGAAGACAAGAGACAAGTGGGCAGATGTTCAATGTACTCGCACATTTCAGTTCATCTGCTATGACGGTGAGAATATGTGGACAGTAATATGATAATACAATATTTAATAATGTTATAATCTAGTTTATAATCTGAGTTATATCACATGTTCCTGAAAGAGACAGTTTGAAGAATGAAACAAATTAGCTGATAAAGATGTTTTTGTGTTTTTCTGTTGACTCGACAGAAACAATGAAAGACAACAAAACCTTTCATTTGAATGAGACGTCTGTGACCTGGACTCAGGCTCAGAGCTACTGCAGACAGCATCACACTGACCTGGCCAGTGGACTCGATCAGATATACAGTGAAGAGTTTAAGACGCTGAAGAAGTCTAAAGAACTGTGGATCGGCCTGTTCAGAGACAGCTGGAGGTGGTCAGATGGGAGTAACTTCTCTTTCAGATACTGGGACATGGACTCATTTAATGATGGACTAAACAACAGGACATGTGCTACGACTCTGTTAGAGAGATCAGGAAGATGGAGCTCTGCTGGATGTGACCAAAGAAAGCCTTTCTTCTGCTATGATGGTGAGTTTACACAGATTTATCTCAGTTGTTTGTCCAACAGATGAAATGCTGGAGTCACTGAGAGGATTTAGGTCAGTGTGTTTCTTCAGCCACTTATTTCTGCATGTATGTTGAACTTCTGTCAGAGGTGAAAAAGTTTAGCTGATGGTTGGAACAGAGATTTCTCTGTAGAGCGACTGATTCGTCTGAAGAATCACTGAAATGTTTTTTCTTTGTTCTTTGTCTAAAACTGGACCTACCATACCGTATCATAGTCCTGGGTCTTTGTCCGGGTTTTGTGTTTATTATGGTTTTATGACTTGTTCTTTTGGATTTCAGGGATTTGCATATTCTAGCTTTGTATGAGTTCTTTAAATTGCTTTTGAGATTCCAGTATTTACATTTTTAGTACTATATTTCTTGTTTTTCATGTTTGTTCCCACCATTTCCAGTCGGTCCAATAACCTACCCAGTGATTCTTTCAGTCCCTTTCTGTTCTCTTTGTGTTCTGTCTCTGTGGCTGTTTACGCTTTTAGTCCCATCCCTGTGTTTTCTGCCTGTGCTGACTTCAGTTTTGCTTCCTTTATCCCAGTGTCCTGCCATCTTGCTTTGTATATCTGTTTTACCTTGGATCTTTCAAGTTTCCTAGTTTTTACTTTGTTTGTTTAGTATTTTGTTAGACATATTTTGTTCCAACAAATAAAGCTGTTTCTTTCGAAGCTGCCACAGAGTGCACAATGGCATTCAGCTTTAACTCATTTTCATGTTTTCTGTGATTTTATGGCAGATAAACTTATTCTGATCAGGGAAAACAAAACCTGGGAGGAAGCCTTGAATTACTGCAGACAGACACATCATGACCTGGTTTCAATCAGCAACCCTCATCAGCAGCGATGGGTCCAGGAAAGAGCCAAAAACGCCTCGACTCCTTTCGTGTGGCTGGGACTGCAGTACGGCTGCACTCTGTGGCTTTGGGTCACTGATTATGTAGTGTGCTATGAGAGGTGGGCTTCAGGGGGAAGGACTGAAGACTGTGGCATGTCTGCAGCCATGACCACAGGAGGGCAGCACGAGTGGGTCAGTCAGAGGGAAAATGAGAGATTTAATTTTATTTGTATAAAACACTAAAGTTTAAAGCTAAAGTCACTTCTTAGCTGCACATGTAGATCTTCTGGGGTGAACTCTGTGTTTCTGCTCAGTGTTTACAGTCTCTGGGTTTGAAAATGACCAACAGATTGTTACCTGCAGCTTAGACATTTGCAGAGAGCAGTCTGTGTTTCATGTCCTCTCCTTTACCAGAGTCAGGAGCATCTTGGTTTCTTCCTTCATTGTTGCTGGATTGGTTCATTATTAAACTGTAGCAGGATGTTTGTTGTATTTAGTTCAGATAAGGTGATGGTTTTAATGTTTCTGCTTCATGTGCTGTAAATCTTTGTATCGCACCATTGTATCCTCAGCTTGAATTACAAAGCCTGTCACTAAAAGCAGGTAAAACCATGTTTGTGTCACGACTCCATATGAGCTCTATAATCTGATCATGTGTTCATGAAGACAAATAAACCTTCATTTAACCAAGTCTGTCACTGTTACAGCTTTCACATTAGCTAATGCAAAAAGCGCCTCTTAATGATAAGACCAGTTAAGAGCAAAGTCAACATGATGCATTTTTACAGCTGGTTCCAAGCCAGTAAAAGCAAATGTGCATCCAACACATGCAATACCACAACTACTTGGATTCACAGGTACAAAGTACATACATCATAGTATATTATATTAACTTCAGCTAATGCTTTCCATGTGGCATTAATGTAATGATGAAATGTATCTTCTGTGTTTAGCACAGGGGGCGTGTCCAAATGAAGCCTGTGTTGAGGCCCAAAGAGACCCATAGACCAAAGACAAATGAGGCCTTGTTTCTTTGAAATGATGTCACTGCCTCATTATGTGATTTGAGCTGTTGAAAAGACTCAGATCTAGATCGGAGGTGATTTTAGGAACTTCACAAGTGTGCATGGCCGTTGGAGGCAGATTATGGAGCCACCAAAAAGGCAAAAAACATCAGTAGTTTGGAAAATTTTGACGTGCTGACGCCCGGTTATAACGGGCGGCAGCATAAGTCTCAAATCAGTCTGATAGAGCTTTGTTAGTTAGGAGTGTGTATGTGACATCGGACCTCATATGAGTGCTCTGCAATTGATACATCGTTATGTTTACATGTCACTCGCACTGCGCAAAGTCACGTCGGAGTAACATCTTTCAAAAGTTCATTTGGACTTCCAATTTTGGTCCACTAAAGGTTTATTTTGCAACACGTAACAACGTCTTTTTTTCTTTCTTTTTTTTTAATGTCTGTGTTGGTGTCCTTAGGACCTCTGTATGTGGGCTCCTGGCTAGAACAAAAGTGAGCAGCTGCTCAGTGGATGTGGAGCAGAAACGTCTCCAGCTTCTCACAGACAGTTTGTAAAACATGAACATCCACAAAGACTGTCGAGGAGTTTATCAAAAATACTCAACAACAAGAACAGTGGTAGATGCATGATATTGTGGAAAATTTAAAGCAATTGTTGAACATGAATTGTTTTAGGCATTATGCTTTTATACTGCCTAATATGCATGCATGAAATATACATTTTTTCATATCCTGAACACAATGATAATGAGCATGGTTTATGTGCATGGTGGGTGTTAAAGCAAACTTTTTTTTCTCGCTCTGTGTCTCTTTCTCTGTAATTCTTATTACTGGGTCCAGCAATCAGACTCAGTGTATTGAAGGCTGGTTAGCCTCTCTGAGACAACATCATGCTCAGCACTGGAAAAATCGTCTCCAGGAACTAAAAGACAATGACTGCTTTTCTGGATGTTTTTTGGACAAGCAGCTCATATTGTTTACGTGTCTGAATGGCATTGGGTTATGTGACCATGCTTATATTCTTTTAATCAGTCATTGTGTGTGTGCATGTGTGTTGATTTTGGCATCACTGTTTGTTGAATAGGCATGAAGCCAAATCAAAACTCTCAAAAAGCCATCAATGGCTCCATTTATACAGATTCCAAAAGGCTTCAGTTTGTTATAGGAGTCAACATGCCGCATGGAATTTGGTCCAGGACTTACATACGTGTGTTGCATTAGGTGATTTTTGCTTCGTTGCTGAAGCTCGTAAGGGTCAAAATATTTCAGAAAATTTTGGATGAGATTATGGTCGTGACAGACGGCGAGCCAACCACTTTGCGGAAATTCACCACAAAAAAGATACACACATCAGTCTGCAGCACTGGCAGTCATCTGCACTTCTTTACATTCCTCTGTTAGTCACTGCTGGATGAAGCTTTCCTCTCCACCTCACAGTAACATGGCCCAGTCAGAGCGTCTCTACACTGCTGCTTCAACCTCAATAGATCACCAGGACACAGCTCATCCTCTCTCAGCACACACACCATCCTGTTTACCATGACCTCCACCTGCAGAGAGAAGAAGGAAGAGCAGAGGATATAAACAAGTGTTTAAGTTCATGAAAAGGTTTTTCACTCCTAGTCTTAGTTTGGACTTTCATTCATTAGAATAACCTCGGTCTGTCCACTCTGAGCTCTTTAGGAACCCCAACAACAAGCCCAACAATCCAGATGGACGGTTCCAGCTGTTAACTGGAAGGAATTCCATCCAAACATCTGCTCTCACTAAATTCTTCCTCACCTACAGATTGTGTTCTTCACTGCTTTAAACTTGGAAATGAATGCAGTCATTGGTCTGCATGCTGCTTTTTTCAGAGAGCTGATTGGCTGTTGACAGTGTTTGATCAGAGCATGTGAGCCGTTACTATAAAGTGACCATAGAGGTAGGAAGGTCAGGCAGAAACAGGAAGTGTTTGTGTCCAATCCTGAAGCTTGTCACCATTTTCCTCTCACGGCTTCACTGAGAAGCTGCAGCTTTACAGGAAACACTGGATCTTTGTTTCATGCTGACTGTTTAGTACAATACTGCAGAAGCACCACAAACTCAATCCAACAATCTACTGACCACAGCACCTCCAGTCTGCAGTCTGGACTCTCCTTAAGCTCACACAGCTGCTTCACATCTGGTTCCTGCAAGTTGTAGTTTCCACTCAGGTCCAGCTCTCTCAGATGGGAGGGGTTGGACTTCAGTGCTGCTGCCAGATAATCACAGCTGATCTCTGACAAACCACAGTCCTTCAATCTGTATAAAGAATGAAAGATGTACGCTTATTAGACAAAGTGCGTTCTTGGAATGATTCAATGTTTCATAATCTGTTTAGAGCTGAAGAACGTTCAGAATGTAGAAGCTTAGAAAATGGAAATTGCAAACAGCTGAAGCCAACAGGAAGCAGCTTCAAATAAATCATGAGAAAAAACTTGTAATTTTTCACATTCAAGTTGTGCATTTATCATAAAAAGACTTAAAAACAAGTAGTGTTTTTTATTCAAGGAATCACATGGCTTCGCTTTTAAAAGTTGTAAAGTTGGCTGAGAGTCCTCCGGAAGCACATCATGGCAGACAGGGAGAGGCTTTACAGAGTAGTCAAGACACCACAGAAGACCATTGGCTGTTCTCTCTCCTCCCTGTTGGACATCTATTCCTCCCACTTCCTCAGCAGAGCTACAAACATCATCTAGGAAAGCTCCCAACCTGGTTCTGACCTATTCAACCTGGCTACAGATGCATGAGCACATAGACAGATTCAAAAATAGTTTCTTCCCAAAAGCCACAACCACTCTGAACTCTCACATGCACTCCATTAACAGACTACACAACACC